CTTGCGGAACAAAGCGAGTCCCATTGGTGGTAGATAATGGAAAGCGCATTGTAACGTAAGGAAGAGCAAAGAGTATGTTTAAAGTGATTTTTAAAGTGTTTATTAGGCCTAGTGTTCTATACCTCAATCTATAAGCTTCCGTTGGTCAAAGATGAAGAAATCAAGTATTACTAGTACTGCAAGTATAACAAGTAAGTAGGTAGAGAAATTATTGGGTTCCATCTAAATAATAATTGTTTTTGCAGTTCACGGTTAAGCTTGGATACAGATTGTTTTGGTAGTAAAGTACAAAGTACAACGCCTTAGCATTTGTATACAACCTTTGAGAACTTAGCGGTGTCGGTGCCTAGGACGCGACGCATCGACGGGTGGGGCTAGGCTGCGCAGATGCTTTGAAGAAGCCTGCACGCGCTCTCTTTGCCGACGCACCACACTATATAGTGTATATACATCAGTTCGTTCAGACGACTAACCAAATATATAGGTATTTATAAACTGTAAAAAATACAAAAAAATTTTGTTTGAAACATTTTTCGCATTTTATTTGGAAAAAATATATAGAGGGCAAAACAAAATTGTGTACTCTAAAACATAAAAATTATCAAAACAACTTAAAATGCTATATCTCTTTGGATATAGTTTTATGAGAAAGCCTTTAGTACAAAAGTTGAAGATAAACTAATTACAAATAATACAAATTAAATTTCACTACGATGGCATGCGTAGAATTTGAATTATATCCAGTAAAGTGAACGACTGTAATTTCCAGGCTTGGAAGGGGTTGCGGGGAAAAGCTCAAGGGGGATAATCGGGAACTTTTTGAAAAAAAACACGTCTTAAGTGGTTCCATTACATATAACAAACTCAGCTTTCCACTATTTAGCTACGAAAAAAGGCATTTTGTGCGTTTATTGGCTGGGCTAGATGCGATGACGCAGCGCAGAAGTGTTCAACTAGCCCGCACGCGCTCTCTTTGCCGACGCCCAGCTCTTCACCCGGTCACCTAGATGACTAACCAATAATATATTTGTAAACCTTGAAAAACGTACTAAAACTTTCGTTTGAACCATATTTGCGTATTATTTCTAATTAAAAGTATACATAGAGAAAAACAAAATTTTGCACTCTGAAACAAAGCTTTTAACGAAGTTTAAATTTCATATCTCCCTAAGTATTGGTTTTAGAAAAATGTTGTAAACACAAAAGTTGTAGGAAAACTAATCATAAATAAAACAAAACAAATTGCAGCTCGATAGCTTACATAGCATTCGAATCATGACCCATTAAGTAAAACACTGCAATTTCTATGTTTGGAGGGGGGTGGGGGGGAAAGCTCAAGGGGTAGAAGTGGGGACTTTTGGGAAAATACACCTCTCATGTGGTTCTATCACATATAAAAAATCCAGCTTTCCACCATTTAGTTGCGAAAAAGGGTGTTTTATTACATTCATTGACTGGGCTAATTAGTTTCCCTAAAATTGCTATATTACAATAACCTCGTCCAACTAAATCAGGGTTAAATTCAATATTACATTGTAAACTATATGTCTTTTGATTTTGTGAGATTTCGGTTTCAAATAATGCTATCAGAACATTTATAGGAAAACCAGGAAAATTAACAACAAAAACTAAGTTTTATTTGATGTTTACTACAAATACCGGGATTTATCTTTCTTATGTATTTTCTTATTGTGTTATTATTCAAAATTAGCCTAATTAATAAAATAGTGACAACATGACAGTTAAAATTCAACAACGGGTAATGGAATTAAAAGGCAAACAAAAAAGTCTTACAAAATATGAATTATTGGCCTAGCTCTGAAAGGGTTAATGGGAACATTCATTATTATCGATGATTTATTTTCGATATATCAATATTTTTGTCTTACCTACTTCACGATCCGTATTCCTTCTGTTTAAATATCATCAAACGCATGAAGCTACAAATTAAGAACTAACCTTGTTTAGGCAAAAATAATCCTACTAATATTATAAATGAGAAAGTTTGGATGTATGGATGTATGGATGTATGTTTGTGACAAGTGAACGCGAAAAATACTGGTCGGATTGGGCTGAAATTAGGCATGATGATAGCTCAAATTCCCGATTAACATATAGGCATATTCTTATTTCAAAAATCCTTTCGGGCTCCGCCCCAGTGGCCCTGGAGTTTCCCATGTTAACCTTATGAGAAATGGAATTATTGAATCTTAACAGCTGTTTCAACTAAACAAGTTGGTTCTGTTCTATGATGTTCAATAGCATTAAAGTTACAAGGATTACCAACAGGGTGCAGCACTATTATTTCTTTTACATTTATGACAACAGCTAATTTGCAACCAAAAGGTGAGTGAGCGTAGCGAACGAACTTCAACCTGGAGGCGAGTTAGCGTAGCGAACGAGCTCCAACCTAAATGTGAGTGAGCGTAGCGAACAAACTTCAACCAGGACGTGATTGAGCCATGCGAACGAGATAATCTTGAAAATTAAGAAGTTAAACGGGGCAAAGCCCGCGGGTTACAGCTATCCTACTAATATTATAAATGAGAACGTTTGGATGTATGGATGTATGGATGTATGGATGTATGTTTGTGACAAGTGAACGCGAAAAATACTGGTCGGATTGGGCTGAAATTAGGCATGATGATAGCTCAAATTCCCGATTAACATATAGGCATATTCTTATTTCAAAAATCCTTTCGGGCTCCGCCCCAGTGGCCCTGGAGTTTCCCATGTTAACCTTATGAGAAATGGAATTATTGAATCTTAACAGCTGTTTCAACTAAACAAGTTGGTTCTGTTCTATGATGTTCAATAGCATTAAAGTTACAAGGATTACCAACAGGGTGCAGCACTATTATTTCTTTTACATTTATGACAACAGCTAATTTGCAACCAAAAGGTGAGTGAGCGTAGCGAACGAACTTCAACCTGGAGGCGAGTTAGCGTAGCGAACGAGCTCCAACCTAAATGTGAGTGAGCGTAGCGAACAAACTTCAACCAGGACGTGATTGAGCCATGCGAACGAGATAATCTTGAAAATTAAGAAGTTAAACGGGGCAAAGCCCGCGGGTTACAGCTATCCTACTAATATTATAAATGAGAAAGTTTGGATGTATGGATGTATGGATGTATGGATGTATGTTTGTGACAAGTGAACGCGAAAAATACTGGTCGGATTGGGCTGAAATTAGGCATGATGATAGCTCAAATTCCCGATTAACATATAGGCATATTCTTATTTCAAAAATCCTTTCGGGCTCCGCCCCAGTGGCCCTGGAGTTTCCCATGTTAACCTTATGAGAAATGGAATTATTGAATCTTAACAGCTGTTTCAACTAAACAAGTTGGTTCTGTTCTATGATGTTCAATAGCATTAAAGTTACAAGGATTACCAACAGGGTGCAGCACTATTATTTCTTTTACATTTATGACAACAGCTAATTTGCAACCAAAAGGTGAGTGAGCGTAGCGAACGAACTTCAACCTGGAGGCGAGTTAGCGTAGCGAACGAGCTCCAACCTAAATGTGAGTGAGCGTAGCGAACAAACTTCAACCAGGACGTGATTGAGCCATGCGAACGAGATAATCTTAAAAATTAAGAAGTTAAACGGGGCAAAGCCCGCGGGTTACAGCTAGTAGTCTATAAGTACTGCATGTTACCATGAAATACTTATAAATTATAAGAAACAACTATTAAACTAACATAACTAACCAAACTTTCTGTAGGCCTACGCTAAGTTACCATTTTAAAATTTTGTTTGATAACAGAAAAGGCATACAGGGAATAGGCTATCGAATGGAATTTTGAAGTTTTACAGCAAGTTTGGTTGGTTTGGTTAGTTTAGAACAGTTTCATTTCAATATAGGCCTGTAACTTAATATTGTTTTTTTAGGCCTAACTGTTTGTTGATACTGAAAAATGTTTATTTATCCTTAGTTGTCAGCTGATATGTTTCAATTTGTTATTATCAATGTAAGTTATCGGATAGAAAAATAAAATATCAATATATTGAAAAGAAATCATCGATAATAACGAATGTTCCCTTTAACAGGAAAGTACCCCTCAGTATACCATGTGGTAGTGTTTAACATAGGTACCAATCAACCAGAGTCTCCTCAAATTTAAACTGTCCCGATGGAAACTAATAGTCACAAAATGCCGCCCTCATTGTGTAAAGTCTACGGCCTTCTGCATTTCTCTAGGACACTTTTATACACATTTTCTATGGATAGAAAATGTGTTTGAAAATTTTTGAACACCTTTCTGCACACACATCCTTGAACTGGAAATGGATTTCAACAGGGGTTGACACCCTTCCAACAGCAACCTTTCACATCGCGCAATTTATATTTGGTGGCAGAGTCTATTTCCCTCATATCATTTTGTGGCTACTATGAAGGAAATGAGTAGAAATGAGAACCAGGTAGCCTAGATAAGTAGTGGACGAAGGGAAAAACATGGTGCCAGTGTCTGGCTCGATGGAGACCTTAATTTAACTTAACGGAATTGTGGATATTTATAGGCATGCACTGTGGATGCGATACTCCCTGGTGTGGATTAACGTCCGCACCAGTGAGTACTACCACTATCCGCAGTACTATCTTGAAAATTAGGCCTAGACTAATTTGTATATACCAAGGAAAAAATGTGGTTCGGATTCCACTATAAACTGAAGGTCCCTTAGTTGCCATTAGCTGTATGGGCTAAGTATTAAAAGTATTTACTGCTTACAATTTACAAGCCTTCAACTACACCTGCTGTGGTCTGTGTTCGTAGTCACACAATGCCGCCCTCATTGTGTAAAGTCTAAGGCCTTCTGCATCTCTCTAGGCCACTTGTACACAATTTCTATTTTTAAACATCTTTCTGCACACACATCCTTGAACTGGAAATGGATTTCAACAGGGGTTGACACCCTTCCAACAACAACCTTTCACAGCGCGCAATATATATTTATATTACAGGTACATATGACATTAAAGATTCTATAAATAAAGAAAGAAGATGATGCTTATGAAGAACATAAATTTATTTAAAATAAAATTTGTTAAAGAAACATCTAAAATATTTTGTAACCTGGTCACTTCCAGTACAAGATTTGGAAGTGGACAAAAATATATCAGTCATTTTTCTTCAAGAAGAAAACCAATTGAATCCAAACTGAAGGTACAATATAATGTTTTTCCAAGATTAATTTTCAGTTGCATGGGCATTAAATTTTATTCAAAATATTGAAATAGGAGGAGACATTAAGCATTGACCTTAGAGTAGGCTTGCTAAACATTTTATTTTCTGCCCAACACTGGACCTATATCTACTAATAATAACTAAAAGTTAATCTGCAAATAGGTTCTCTTATTATCGATAGTTAATGAATGTAGAAGCAGAAGGTGCTCTTGTTAGGCTTTACCCTAATGTTATTGATCATATAAATAGTTTTGTAATAGACATGTAATTCTTACTCAGCATTTTTAACAGAAACCCTCTTAAACTTTTTAAACAAATTAACCCTTCCAGGGCTAAATTAAATGAAGGGCTGGAGCTTAATTATTTTTTGCCAACATTTAAAAACTATAAAGTGATTTTATCATGTTTTGTTTTTTATTTTGCTTTAAATAATTCATGGATCATTCCTTCTCAGTGATCTAATTGCTGTACCAACAAAAGTTATAAAGAAATTTAAATTTAAATTGACACATATATCCGTCTTAGGCCCACTAAAAACCTAAGGTAGACGGATATATCTGTCTGCCACCCGTAGCAAAAAATCACGAAATATGAACACTGCCTATTAGCTTGAGTATTCTTGTGAGTAGCAGACGGATATATCCATCAACCTTATTCTTTCCCTTGCTTTATTTTTTATCTAGATCAATATGTATCTATCATTCTGAAGTACAGTACTGTAAATCTAAACCACCCAGTTCCGCTCCCAAGTCCTCATACCCATTCCCCACCTCGACTTCTACAACGTAAAGACTGTTCTTCAGGTTCATCATATCTATCAAATTCTATGCTATTGTTTTTAATGCCAAGTATGAAATCCCCGTCAGACATACTTTTATTTAGAATCTCAATAACATCTTTAAATTCGGATTGTTTGGATTAGTCTTTTTAGCTCAATAACATAAAAATAAAGCACAAAACACAAAAGTAAACATCTCTCACTAACAACCTTGTGCAAAATGACAGTTTTGCAATATTCACACACTATGGCGCAAACTAATAATAGCTGAAACAGTTGTGGTAATTATTATTGCCAACAATAAACAACTCATTTATAATGCAGTATAATGTTTATTTCCGTATTACAAACAATGTATATCAATTCGTTTTGGGCGGATATATCCTTCAGCTCAGAAAAGAAACTTCTCGGGACGGATATATCCGATTCCCACCTGGAACGTAAACGGAGATTGACGGGATATATCCGTCCATAGCCCAGGAAGGGTTAGTTTTAAATACCCAGGTTTTTTATCACCTTATAAAAATGTTCATAAAGTAACTCAATGCAAACATTTAATTTATTTTTAGTCATTGCCAAAGATGACTGTTAAAGAGCACATATTACCCAATGACCAGCCAGTGAGTGGGTTGGAATGTGAAGTAGCTTTCAATGCTCTGACTGATAATGAGAAGTTGTATGCTCACTACCTCAGCCTGGCATCATGGAATGGAGGACTCATCACTGTTGTTCAGGTAGGCCTACTGTATCAACTCTGTTTCACTTAATGCTTAAAAGCCATTTTCAATTACATTTTGTTGTTTACTGTCAAGAATGGTCCTCAGCAAAATCTAGAATTAAATTTTGATCAAACATTTTTTCAACCCTATGCTGGATTAAAAACATTACCCTTGGTCGTGTAGTTATTGTCATTGTCTCCTGCGGTCACAGCAAAACCCTGAATACCCAAATGGTAACGGAAACACCATCGACTTCCACGATCGTGGCAAAATTTTGTTCATTTCCCGCGGTTGTGTAGACATTGTCATTGTCTCCCGCTGTGGCGGCAAAATCCTGAATATATCCTACGGTAAGAAAACATAAGCCTCGTTTTCCACGATCGCAGCAAGATTCTGTTCATTTTCCGTGGTCGAGTTTTCATTGTCCTTGTCTCCTGCGGTCACGTCAAAACCCCGAATAACCCCTGCGGTAATGGAACATCATCATCATCTCCCACGGTCATGGAAACGTCATCGTTGCCTTGCACGATCGCAGCATTAGCAGTAATTTTCCAATCGCAAAAATCTTTGCAGACGAGTCTGGTACTGTATTGGTATTGGAATCAACTTTTAGTGGTCGATTCTCGATTCAGATTCTAAAGCTGAGAAATGGTGGAATTGAGAATCGACTTTGGAACCAACCCATCCCTACTTCATACATTAATAGCCTACTTTCTTATTAAATGGCGACCATACAAAGTAGGTATTTTAAGCCAGGTATGAATATTGTAGTATAATGTCAATGGTCTTTCTGAATAACGATTTGTTAATGATTCTTACATTACAGACCTCTCCAGAGTCACCATTGATTGTAAGTTTCCTTCTACAATTGTTCGATGGTCAATCAATAAGTGAACTGAAGTCAAAAGCATTGGCAAAAATAACTGAGGACGAATTCACTGTGAGTATCAAAGTTTCTTATTCTTGCTGAGTGTTAGTTATTTCTATTAAATACAAAAATTTTTTGAGAAATTATAATGTAATGGTGATAAATATTATAGAAAGCGTGTTTCCTTTTTTAGCACTATTTTTTCTATGATTTAATTAAACACTAGACAATCACTTAGTTTTACAGACATAATGTGACAGGTGGCAGGTAGGGTTGTAATATTCAGATGTTACCCATAAAACCTTAGGAGTTGGTATTTTTCTCATTTTTGAAATGAATAAAATTCTAATAGCCTAGTTACATACTATTATCTTTGACTATTACTATTATATATAATAAACATATAATGTAGAATATACATATTTAATGAATAAATATGGCTTTCATACAGTAAGGGGAGTGAGCTAATAATGCTTTTTAATCGAGTTCAAATCTTGTTTCCGATGCAAAAATAATAATGTGAAAGTGAAAGTGACCCGGAGAACAAAACTACTAATTTACAATCAATTAAATTTGTTGATTGTAGATGTACATATATTACAAATAAAATAAGAGTAATTTGCCTACCTCAGCCAGGTTACAATTATCACTAAAAGTAGCCTAGGCTTATTTCAAATCCATTTCCAAAAACTATGTTTTGTCTCTGGTTTACTAGCTGATTGTGGTTAAACATACCGTAACGAATATTGGAACAGAAAACGGTATGGATCGTAAACAAACAAATAACAGTAAATATACAAATAACATAACCTTTGACTATTATCTAATAGTCAATGCATTAACATACTGTTTAGACAGTTCCATAAGCAATGTTGAATAATGTTACTTTCGGGCCAGTAACATAATTTGTTTGTGTTTATGATCAATACCTTGTCTGTTCTAGTATTCTTGTTAAATATTAACCCTTCCCGGACGGGTGACGGATATATCTGCCTAAGTCTTTGACGAAAAAGGACGGGTGGCGGATATATCCGCTTATGGTTTTTGATGTTCCGGATGGGAAGCGGATATATCCGCCTTCTCTTCAGACAGACTGGCAAGTGCTTGAGCAGTAACCAGATGTTTCGCGGTACCAAGGCGCCACTTTCCTGCTCTCTCCATGGCTGCGCTCTCTCCCGCGCCTACCCTTTTCCCGCGCCACCCCCTCTCTTGCGCACCATCCTACCTCTCCTACGCTCCCCCCTTGAGGATTCGCGCTCAACACTACATTATCTTTATTTATTGTTTACATGTTGTACTCTATTTATTGCCTAACGTTGTCATGTTCATATCTTCAAAGACGGGTGGCGGATATATCTGCTGCTTTTCTACTCATCCGAGGACGGGTGGCGGATATATCCGCATAATTAAAAACGAGTAAAAAATTATTTTGACAGTATAAAGTGTTCCATTGTGTTTATTTTATGTATACTTGTATAACAAAACACAAATAAGGAAAATTAATATTTATTTTTTCCTATAATTTTTTCAACTCAGATATAGAACCGTTATAAAGAAAGTTGGGTCAGCATCACTGTATCTTAAGTAAACCCTAAAAAGAAAATAAAATCACTGGGGGAGGACGAAGCCCCAAATGAAATGACCTCCAGATCATAAGCTTTAAAATTAGAGCTAAATCGTAAAAATCGGTTAGTTAGGACAGGCATAAAAAGGAAAGTTACAAAGAAACCCCTTATTGCTTTAAGTTACTTGATAGGCCTACAACAGTGTAACTTTTATACTTGTAAAAGTTTCTTAAAAGATTTTTTTTAAGATTTCTTAGACATATTTTTAATTGTTTTTAGGCCTTATTAGTGTACTCGGCTGGAGTATTGGCCAATGCAGGAAACTACAAAGGATTTGGAGATTCTAAGATCATTCCTGGATTGTCATTGGAAAAATTGGAGGAGGTTATGAAAGTATCAGAAGCATATTCAAAACAACCCAAGCTGTTCCAGGATTTGTGGGACAGGTGTAAATCATCTATTTATTCCCTTGATGACCGAGACAAGAGTCTAGGATTTTGGGATAAGGTACTTGATGCTAAAATATATGAATAATTCATTTCACTAATAACATGTATATGTCCTCTCATTTTTTTAATCACTTTGAAAATGAGTAATAAAATGAGTAAAAATTATCAATATTAGTTTGATAATAATAAATAGTAAAAGCTAGTATGGTAATAAAACATATATTTGTCATTGACATACAGATATTTGTATTTTAATCTTGGTTTTTTAACCTCCTCTCAGAAAGTCATAGGCCTAAATGGATTTTTATAATCAGCACATAGCCAAGCCCAAGCCTCTCTGATAAGGGTTGAGAGAAGCTCTCAGTCTGGAGGGGTAGAGCAGGCCAACTACTGGGGCTGGCTATGAGAGTAAATCCTATTACAGTAGAGTCCCGATAATCCAAACTTCGGTACAGTAGACTCCCTTTTATCTGGACACCTTTTAACCGGACATCGGTTTAACCGGACTACACTTGGTGGAAATGACATCTCTTTAACCGGACAATTTTTATCAGCACATTGGTTTAACCGGACTAGATCGTCAGGATGTGGGCAGTACTGAAACGTCTGTTCTCGTGGGAAAGATTTGAGACCAGTTATCACGTGTCTTAATACAACGCTCTCCTAAATTTAAGTTGAATATCACAGTAAACAGTCCGTTTTAACGAGTTTTTTGGGACGTCGGTTTAACCGGAAAACCCGTTATCCGGACTGGCCTCGGTCCCGAGGAGTCCGTATAAGAGGGAGTCTACTGTAATCCGAAAGTCCGCTCAATCTAAAACCAAAAAATATATTTTTTTTTATTAAAAAAAAAATTTTTTTATTAAACTTTTAACACAGTTAGCTGTACCTTGTCAAAGTATTCTGTAGCGGCTGGGTGAGATAGAGTTTTTTTGTAGAGTATTTTAGTAAATATTTCACCATTTTTGTTATTAACATTTTTCATTTTTGTCTGCCAAATCACAGATGGATTTTATTAAGTGATAATGCTGCATCCACTAGGTCTAGCCTTAAGTATTGTGAAAAATAATCCCGGGCTCGTGACTGCGTACAAGACAAAAAATTTTTTTTTTTTTTTAATTTAACTTTCTTTCAAAATTTTTAATCCAAAATATTTGGTAATCCGAAATGGGCCCGGTCCCAACCATTTCGGACTAACGGGACTCTACTGTAGTTACTCTTCACTGAGTACACTACTTTAAAGTGGAAACGTAATGTATAATTTAAATGTTCATTCGTTATCTGAGAAAAGGCAAGGTACCTTGCAAGGTACTGTAACTTACTTATGGCAAGGTACTGTAACCTATCTTATCATAAAACAAACAGTTGTGTGTTTATCCGTTAAGTGTTAAACTTTTAATTTTTGTATAAAAAAAATTCCAACAATTGACGTCAACAGGTGAACATATTTTGTTTGGAGACAAGAAAAATCCTATAGGCTAGTCTATTGCAAATAATTTTTTCCATGTTTTTCCCTCGTAGTAAATTGAGATGTGTCACTGAAAATTATGATAAAATAATACGGAACTAATTTCTTGGACCTAATTTTACTTAATAGCAATGTAAGCAATGACTTGTTCAGCTATAAGTTTTTTAAACAAAGTACCAAAAAACTTTTAATTAGTAATGGGTCGGTTGAAGATTTTATCGGTTCAGTTTTTTTTTTTATCGGTTCTCAGTAGTTAGTTTTCCTGTCTCCCCCTTCTATCATTTTTTTTGAATAGGCTAACAACTTTCTCTTTACTCATGCAAATGTAGTACTCTCGTTTAAAATTGTAACTTGCTTAATCTGAGGGCTATTATATTTCAAAGCATCATTAGGTCAGACAACATACCCTAACCTCAATTACGTTATGGTACCTATAGGTACAATTCATAAATTGTCATATTAAAATTCAAGGTTACAATACCAGGTTTTACTCACAAATTATAATGAATTAGGTTATAATGTTGTTGAAAACTGTAATATGATAGGAATTGGAAACACCAGTATTGTTACACAGACGAACACCAGTATTGTCTACAAATTCATATTTAAGAACCCTTGACTTGTTGATGTCTTCACTCATTCAGGATCTAATCTGTTTACATTTGATACTGGGTCAACAATTATATTTATAGAAATGCAACAAAAGATAAGTCAACAGAAGCAATTGAAAGAAGTAGATCAATAATTTATAACAAAATAAGTCATATTCATATAGTAGGGTTGCTTATGTTAATACATTATTAGTAGAATTAACTGTTTGAAACAACAAGTAAAATTACTGAACAATAGTTATAAAATCTTTAAAATAAATAAAAGTGCACATACATTTTAGTCACTAACTTATGAAGAGTTCATTTAAAATGAACATTTACAATTTGAAATTTTAACTTAGCCCTAATACCCCCTAAATGCATTCTCGAATTAGCACATATTTCTCATCAGTTATAATATTTTTTTTTATAAAATTGATAAAAATCTTTTTCTGGGAGTAAAATAAATTTAATCTAAAAATATAATTGGATTAGCACCGAATAAGATTTTTGCCTTTCAGTTTCAAAGTTAACACCAACACATATCAATCAAATTAGTTTATCTCAGGCTCAATTGAATTTTCTTAGTATATTTTACAGCTCTTCCAAAGAATCAAAAGACCTTGGCCTGAACCTGGTTATTTAGGATGGCCTATATAAATTGTTCGAGTAACAAATAATCAGGTTTTAATAGTAGCACCTTTTATGTCCAAAAAGATGAATTCTCAGGTTCAGTTTTTGTTGTTGCAAAAACCGGTGAAAACCAACCGAACCATCCCTACTTTTAATAAACATTTTATAATTTGTATAAAATAGAATTTGTCTTTTTCTTGTCTCAACAGTGTAACTTAGACTTGTAGAAATACTGCTGTGGGGGAAATAGCATTTATTATCGCTTAAATCATTTACATTTTTGTTAAATAACTACTAGCTTTATATTGGATTTATATTAATTAAGTTAATATTATTATGTTACATCTGTTAAAGGGTGTTACTACTTACTTCTCTTCAAACTGCACAATCGAAGATTCTAAAATAGTCAATGCCTACCTCAAAACTATAAACATGGAAGCATACAACTGTCGGACTTTCAAGACCAGTGAGGATGGAAAAACTGTGTATGAGGTATTGTAATGTTTATAATTTAAACTATTGTTTTCCTGGTTATTTTTATATGTTATTGGTTATCATACAGTGTGAACAACTTAACAGTGTCATCAATGGTATCTCAGAAACTATTAGATATAGAAGAAACATTAAATGGCTGTAGTAGGCCTAACTATTTTTTATGACACTAAAAATACAAATTCCATCACAGGGCTGCCACCAGCCATGAAAACCTTGAAAAGAATAAGGCATGGGTTATACATAAATTGCTCGATTGGACCATGAATTTTTGAAAATCTTGAATAATGATTCAACCAATACCATTGCCATATAAAAACATTTCACATTTAAAAACCGTTTTAGTACGATCATAATGAACTTGAAGAGAATACTGTCGAGAGATGAAGTTCCACGCTCAGAAACAATTGCTTATTTCATTCGAGGTCAGATGCTGATATCAGCTGAGCAAATTGTTGTAGTTTGCTTGTTTATGGATATATTTTGATCAGACTTGGTAAATTTATTTTATACTAAGCTATTGATATTTTACAAAGAACACCCTTTATTACCCTCCCTGTACTCAAACCTTAACCTATTCATTAAACTTAATGCGTCACTTAAATATATTTAAGTGAAAATCACATCAGGCGAATGGAAATTTGCTTGGTGTGCAGGTTTGTTGCTGCGGGGTATTTATTTTTATTATGTTGCATTAACATGTAATAATAATTAATATGAAACAAAACGAGTTTTCTATCAATCTCTGCACCAACTTTGACAACAGTTTCGACGCGACTGGGACTGACTGGATGAAAAAACAAACTTGAGTCTAGACGTAAACTCCCGCCGGTCACGTCGTTAAAGCTAGGGCTAGGCATGAGTGTTACGTGTTTTTTAAATGTTTTTAATGTGTGTAAATTATTTGTGGATCTTGACGACCTTCGGAAGAAGTGATAATGTCCTTGAAAAACCTGAAGATGGCTCTGTTATGAGCCGAAACTAGTTGTTTCACAACCACTTGGGATTGTCGACATTACAGGTATTTAAACCACTTTAAAAAAACAAACTATTTTGATTCGTTGTTAGACAAGCTCTGACTCGTTCCTCCTTTCCAACACACACCAAGCGCCAGTGTAGGAGGGCAGGCAGCGCAACATCTGTTGGTTTTTGTCAGACCCAATGTAGGAGCAGCCTCATGGTCGGATATGAGGGGTTCTACTGTACTTATTTTCAGGCTACATACAAGTTGGTTATTTTGTTGATCAGATCAGGCTGGCGTCGGTGCTGACAGGAAGGGATCCCAGCTTCATGCCTGCTGAGACAGAGTTCCAGGGTTGTGTGTTTCGTGTCACCAGAGGCGATTATTCCCCTCTACTCAAGAAAGTTACTGAACACTTGTCAAGTGCAAAGGTGTGTTAGCAAATAGAGCTTAACTGTAATAATATGTTTATGACTAACCTATTAATCTAATCTAACCTTAATGTACATTGCACACTTAAATGTGCTGCAACAATGATATGAATACTAAGTTTCAACTGTGGGAATGCTCTCTTGATGTTATTGTGTCTATTTATCCTGACTATAAATACAAACAATTTAGGTTTTATAATTGTAAGTGTACCTCCTATAAAACTATACGAGATTCTACACGCTGTTTAGTTACTTGAATTTCTGTAATGGTTCACCCCCTCTAACAAAAGTCTATCAAACCTTTTACTCGTGCCACTTATTTTCTTCCTGATTAGAAGTTAAAAAGTAACTAAATAAAATTTTGTTTACTGTTAAAGGAGTATGCTGCAAATTGCACAGAGCGCCATATGCTAGAAGAGTATATTAAAAGTTTCACCACTGGCAGTCTGGATGCACACAAAGATGGTTCTAGACATTGGATCAAAGATAAAGGTCCTATCATTGAAACGTAAGGATTAAGTGCTATTACTATAAACAAAGAAAGGGAGAGTTTAAACCTAAGTTGGTTTTACCCAACATATCCATCTACTAGTTAAGTTTTACTACCAAAATATTAAACTTATTGTTATTACGAGCATTTGTTTTTGTGTGTCTTTAAAAACTGTCAATCCTAACCTTGTAAGTCTCATTATAGAAAGACTATAGTATTCAATTCTAGTTTTTGTGTCCAACCATGTAACATGATTATCACCATTCAACCGTGTTGAACAATCTTGAGTCTTAGACTATAATAGGACTGTTAATCCTAGTTGTTTTTTATGTAACGAATTGCTGTAAGATGTGGTTACAGGGATTTTGTTATAAAAAGATTTTTGATTGACTATCTTAAAAGAAATTGATCCTAAGACCTTTATCTATTCTACTATGGTATTTAAATGGAACCCGTGGATAATTTTAGTGTTTATGGATATAAAAGATGGGTCAGAACAATTTTAATTTTTTATATGTTGTCTTAAACTTTTACTTTGTGCTGTGTGAAGTCATGGCCATGTTTAATGAGTCTAACCTTATTGGAAAATATTAAACTTCATTTGAGATGCTTTGCTGATGTCATGATGCAAAGTTTTTCTGTGAGTTTCTAGCTTAATCTTTCCTTGAACTGTAAATCATTTACACTTCTGTAATATTAAGTTTATTTTTCTGCCCATTTCTAGTTAAACCCGGCAGATGCTTTTTAAATTAGTAAATTTGTGCAACTGTTTCTCTACTTTGCTTGTAGAAGTTTGATAGGTCTAATGTAGTTGTTGAATTTTAGGTACATAGGTTTTATAGAAACATACAGAGACCCTGCTGGCCAACGGGGAGAGTTTGAGGGGTTTGTTGCTATGGTGAACAAAGAGATGTCAAAGAAATTTGTTTCCCTGCTAGAATCAGCTCCTACATTCCTCAAGAAACTTCCTTGGCCCTCAGAATTTGAAAAGGACACATTTTTGAAACCAGATTTCACTTCCTTAGATGTGCTTACATTCTCCGGGTCTGGAATCCCAGCTGGAATTAACATACCTAACTGTAAGCATTGTGCATTGTATTAGTAATTTGCTGATCAATCAACAGAAGTCAAATCAAATCAAATCAAATATGTCTTTATTCATAATATGTACAATTTATGTACAATGAATGGTGTCAGATCTTATTTCTAAGAAATAAAAATAAGTACATTAAAATTAATCTATTTACAAGTATAATACAGAACACCTCTTTTTATTAACAAATCTTACCAACAACTCCATTTATCTTATTTTATTTAAAAACTCATTAATTGAATAACAAGTGTTCTCAATCATGAATGCCTTTAAATTTTTATTGAATTTCTTAATGTTAGTCTCACTTTTCAAACTTTCGGGCAATCTATTAAAGAATTTGGCACCCTTATATGTGGTCTTTTTTTAAAAAAATTCTAATCTATGTGTTTCTAATTTTAAATCATTTTTGTGTCTTGTGTTATAAGTATGATTATGGCCAAGAAAACTAGTATTAGTCATGTTTTGTCTTACATACATAACACATTCATATATATATAAATCAAACACCGACAAAATTCCCAGTTCCCTAAACCTATCCTTTACATGAGCCTTGTTCTTCAAACCTAGCATGATTCTTATACATTTCTTTTGGAGTTTCAATATCTTTTTTAAGTTTTTGTGAGTTGTTGCTCCGTATACACAAATGTTGTATGCCAAATGTGAGTGAACCAAGCTAAAATATATTACTTTTAAAGTGGCTAAATCACAAAATTTAGATAATCTTCTAAGGACATAAATTCCTGAATTCATTTTGCCTTTAACTTTGCTAATATGTTTATTCCAGTTTAAATTGCAATCCACAATTAAACCCAAAAATTTTGCATCAGTTAACTTACTTCTGAAATAATGTTGTCATTTAATTTTATTTCTGTTGAAAACCCATTTTGGTTCTTATTTGTATTAAATTTATAAAGTTTGTTTTATTAAAATTTATCTGTAAGTTTAGGTTTGTCAAAAATGAAACTATGTTATTTAACTCTTCTTCTGAAGATCTTTTAATATGTTCATCGGTTGGTCCTGAAACTTTCAAATTTGAATCATCTGCATACAGAACTACTTTGTTGGCATTCTGATTAACCAATATATCATTAATTCCATTTATGTATATAATAAATAATAATGGGCCTAATATTGACCCCTGTGGGACTCCAAATTTTATGCACTGTGTTTTTGAATTTATTTTTGTTTGTTTTCCGCCAGTTGTAGAAACTATTTCAACAAACTGTTGCCTATCGGTTAGATATGATCTGAACCAATCAAGTGCTTTGCCTTTAATACCAAACTGTGTCAAAATTTTAACCATGGTACCATGACAGACTCTATCAAATGCCTTTTGTAAGTCCATAAATAGTCCAATACATTTTTCACCCCTATCAATGGCATCAATAATGGACTCAATAAATTGAACAGTTGCTGTTTTGGTCGACTTTCCAGCCCTAAATCCATGTTGGTTGCCATTAATTAAGCAGTTACTTTCGAGAAAGTACATTAATCTAGTATAGACAGATTTTTCGTAAATTTTTGAAATTGTGGGTAAAATTGACAGTGGCCTGTAATTTGACGGATTTTTTGGACAATCTTTTTTGTGTATAGGAATAACTTTGCAATTTTAAGTTTTGATGGAAATATACCTGACACAAAAGATGAGTTTATTAAGTGAACTAAGACCTTAACAATAGTTTTATCAACATGTTTAATCACTTTAATAGGCACTTCATCATAACCACTAGCATGTTTGTTTTTTAGATTTTGAATAATGGTTAGTATTTCTTTTTCATCAACTGGTGTTAAATGGAAAGAATTTTTGATATTATTTTTATCTCTTTGACTGCAATTTTCATTGGCAGAACCATAACTATTGCCCGTTAGAGATTCCTTTGTAATATTAATGAAATAATCATTAAAAGTATTAGCTACTTGCAAAGGATCAGTAACAGTGGTATTCTTTTTTTCTAAATGAATTTTTTTTGTATTTAACTTATATGAGCCGGTTTCCTGATGAATTATTTGCCAAACATCTTTACTAATATTTTTCGATCTTAAGATTTTCTGCTTGTAGTAATTTCTTTTGTTATTAATGACATTTTTATGGTAGGTTATGTTTTTTTGTTTAATGATTTTACCTAGCAATTTATTTTTGTTTGATCTATAAGTTAGTGCCAGCTCTGATATTTCTTTCTTTTCTTCTATTAGTGAATTACATATCCACATGTTTCTAGCCTTATACTTTCTAGTTTTAATTTTTGGAAATGATATATTAAAATAATATGTAAAAAGATTAAAAAAACAGTTATATTTTAACTCAACTGGAGCTGCGTACACAGAATACCAATTTTCTGTTTTTCTGAAGCTGTTGTGTACAATATCATTGGCCCATTAAAAAATAACTAATAACAAAGTTATGGAAAATGTCATAAAGTTAACTGAGAGTGTTCACGATAAACATATTGAAATTATGTTTGTTCTCTAAAATTTGAAGATGGATCAGCGCTGAGTTTTGACAATTTGTATTTCAACATCCCTTACCTGTACCAGTGTTGGAAATGTCCCCAATTCCTGTTAAAAACTATGGCTGAAAAACTTCAATTCTCATTTTTGCTGCCCATTCATTAATTTTGGGTGAATAAAATTTATTTGTGGTAATTATTTGAAGATTGATTATTTTTATTGTCAGCTGAAGAGGTGTTTATCAATATTACAAGTATTCATTGTGTGGTACAGTATAAGCTAATTTAACATTGTACTGTTATGTTATCCTGCCAGTTTATGAGATTATTTTGTGCACGTTGGATATCATGTTGTCAGCAATGTTGACGAGTGAATGTGGAATGTTGGCAGAAGACAAAAAAATTCATTAGTGTACTTGGTGAAGGGTTTAAGGAGAAGTAGAATTCTGCCTAATATCTTATGGACAATTATAAAACCGGGAAAAGTATGAGGCAGGAGGTCTATTGTTAAAAAAGATTTATCAACGCCAAGTTGTACAGACATAGACATTCACAGACTTAAGTCAGAAAATTTGAACCTACTTACGTCTAACCTAAATTAGGCCTACACCTTGCGTATTTGCTGTAACTGCAATGCATTGTGGCATTGTGTATGCACATAAAATTGTTTTTTTATTACAGTATTTAAACCCGGTACAACATTTGATTGCTGCTCCTTTGTTATTACATTATATCCTTAGTAAATAACTTCTTGATCAGCATTGTATGTGTTATTAAATTACCTGAAAGCACAAAAAATATGTCAAATAACACTTGTAATAATATATTTTCACTTAAACTGTTTAATAGGTCTGATGATGATTGGAGAGTCCAATCGAAATCGATAACCGCTTACCATCTTTTATATGTATTTACCGTCTTGTGAGTAAACAGTATTAGAGTAAATGTATTATTTCAAGTGTTATTTGATGTATTTTTGTGCTTTCATGTATCCTTAATGTTCTGAACCTATATTTTTCTTGTTAAATTCAATTTACTCTTAGTATTTTCACGTTTTGTTAACTTGGTTTATACAGTTCAAAAGTTGGACTTACGGCTAGCCCATTCTAAATTACCATTACTGCATAATTAATGCTGTACTGTGTACTACTGTTGTGTACTACTATCAATTATTTCATCTTGCTTCTACAGTAACCTTCAGTTTGTAGAAACAGCTTGAGCTCTAGTTACAAAGGTTCACCTTGTAAAAGTTGAGCTATGAAGGTCGTGACTAACATCATTGTCAGAACTCAACACCTCAGTATCTCAAATTTTCAGCTTATCACCTTAAGAACTCGAATCTTTTACTTTTCCCTTTCAGTTTTGAGATATCGTGGTCCTACTGTAATTTACTACAAAATTCAATGATTTTTTGTCATGAAGATATGGGTACTGTATGTCCTAATTACTTTGCAGATGATGAAATACGACAAAATGAAGGATTCAAAAATGTATCTTTGGGAAATGTAATACCTGCAACATTTATGGGAAGGAAATTGTCTTTTCTCAGCCCAGATGATGAAGCATCGCTGGTTAAACATGCTGTGTCATCTTTTGAGGTACGTTGTTGTGTTGTGTTTTGTTTTTTTTTTTAAGAATTATTTTATTTAAGCTTTATATTACCATTTAGTAAGCCTAAAACTTACCCCTTCAACTAGCCCTGGGTTTATAACACAGTCCAAGTATTGCTTGTCTGTGAGTTCTAGTGACTCAACTTTATTTTTACCATGAGTTTGGTCCGAATACAAATTAAATGTCATATTAAATTTTACTAAAATTATCTTGACGTTTAGGAGAAAAAATGTGTTGTTTTAAGTCAAATAAATGTGTAAATACTTTGAACATGTTTCAGGTTCAAGTCGCCCTCCATGAACTGCTGGGCCATGGTAGTGGTAAACTTTTGAGAAAGAGTGGATCTAGTGATTTCAACTTTGACAAAGACAGTCTTATTGATCCCATTACTAATGAAAAGGTGAGTGTGTTTAAACTAATATTTCGCTAACAATAAGCAAAACTTTACGAGCATTATTGTAAATTTCATTATAATTTAATTTCAATTGTTAACTAAAAAGGGTGTCCAGCTGACCTGAAAACTGGGATTTAATTGTTATGTGAGCTTGAATCACAGAATAATTAATTACCAATAGCCTACGGCCAAGCGTCCATTCATTGACAGTGTCCTATCGGTTCTCAAAGGTGTAGTGTGTGTAATAACAAAATCACCTTCGCTTGCTTGCGGGTCCTAAGTGTCACTATGTTCTCGCTGGAGATGCTCACAGATGTAGCTGCAGTTGCGGATGACAATCACAAACTTGTAACATGCTACCGACAGAACCACCAATTCATGTATACTGTAAAAAATCCTAAAAAAACATTGATATAATGATTTTTTCTTATATTAACTCAGTTGTACATCAATGATTGTGCTCTTGTTAGCAAACTTTAATGATGTATATGGTTGCATTAATATTGGAGTTGTTTAGGAAAATACTAATGAGTATAACTATTTAAAAGTATGTGTTCTATCATTGACTATTGGATACGTCAAAGGTTCTATTTAAAACCCAGATAAATTTATATCTTAGGGGTTTTAATTTGTAAAAAATAAAGTTGAAACTGATATGAACAATGTCAAGAGATAGAAATTTGGCTTGGTTACCAAGTTAAACAACTGAAAATCGATGTGAGTGAATATTCAACTTTTTCTATCTGGTAACTGTAACAAGTAAAAGGTCAAACAATTGTTTATTTAAAAGTGAATTTAACGTTGTAGGTGAAGAGCTGGTATGAAGTGGGTGAGACATACGACTCATTGTTCACAACATTGGGCTCGGCCTATGAGGAGTGCAGAGCTGAATGTGTCGGTCTTTACCTCAGTCTCGATAGGGAAGTTCTCAAGTATGTATCTGAGAGAAAATAGACTACAGTACAGTAAGGTTTTAGGTTGAGATCTGGGCCCTGGTTACAATTTATGTTCGATGGGAGCTAAAGCTGTTCAAATATGTAAAAAATTCTCAACTGTAAAATATTAATTTAATTGGGAAACAGTTTGTTATAGTCCAGAAGTATCCTATTGCAGAATATTTAATTTTTAATTTGTTTGAGGAGGTTTTAAAGCAAAACATACTACATTATACTACCTATATTTTAATCATTTGCATAAGGGAAAATAAATTAATTCCTCTTTTTTTATTTTTTTATCCAAGATTTGCAGTTAGAGATGACTACATTAGTTTCAATATTTTCAGAGTCCTTGGCCATGAAGGTGACGATGCAGATGATGTTATTTATGTAAATTGGTTGTCAATGGTCTGGAATGGTGCTAGCAAAGCTCTGGAGATGTATCAGCCAGTAACTAAGACTTGGTTGCAGGTACATATTTCCATATACACTCGAGTAAACTGAACGTTATCTTAATCCGAGCAAGTCTCACAAATATTTTATAAATAATGTCCACTAATGTAAATATACAGGGTGTAGTTAAAGTCCCGCACGGGTTTAATATGTTCTGAACAATAACAGATAAATCAATAAGATTTGGGACGTCAAAACGACACCTAAAAATCTACTTTTTGAAGGAACTATCAGTTCTCTGTCATACCGTGGAGACGTTCATGAGGAGTCAGAAGGAAATCCATTTACAACCTACAAACACAAGTACCTAATGGTTTGTGTGTATAGGAGCATAGGTTGATATGTACGTCGAAGGCCTTTGCTATCAGAATACAATGCCACAAATTTGAACTCAAATGGACAACCGAGTCAAAAATGGCAGCCGCCTTATAGAGGAAAAGAAAACTGCTGTAGTTTGCTTGTTTATAGACACATGTTCATCAAATATGGCAAACTTATTTATTTCATCCTGTACACTTACTATTTTATCAAAATAATACTTTTAAACCTCCCCGTAGCGGAAAACCTAATTACTCGTTAAATCTAATGTCATTTAATGGGGAATAAATTGTTTTTTAATGCCAGTACACACTGAATAGTCAGTATTTAACAATTCAGTTCAACTAAAAATTGAATAATGGGTGTTTTCTTAAATGTTTAGTTAAAAATAAATAGTGAAAAAGATCATTGTGTTTTAATGATGAGATTAGCCTTACAAATTATTTAGTTAAAAATTGCATGGTAAAAATCTCAATCGTGGTGGTGGTTGGTTTATGTTGCAGTCCCATTCGCAGGCCAGGTTTGTGATCCTGCAGGTACTGCTGGAAGCTGGTCAAGGACTCGTCACCGTCACTGAGACTGAACCCAACCAGAACCTGTTGTTGTCCTTAGATCGCTCCAAGATAGCCACAGTAGGCAAGAAAGCTATCGGCGACTTTTTACTCAAGCTACAGGTTAATCCATTCTTACGAATATTAGCTAATTAGTTGTAAAAACTGTAGTTTTTGTAAAATGGAGGCCTTGGAGGGGCTTGGAAAAGTGAAAAGTGTTTGTTTGAATATCTGCTACTAAATCATATTCATATTAAGTAGCTTCAGTCAGTGTATAAATGATCTTTTCCAGTTTTATATTTCATTTAGCAGGTTGCCCTCTCAAGCGCGATATGATTGAGCCATGATTTTGGTCAAACCTTAAAAATAAGTATAGACCAGGAGTGGCTCCAGAGGGTAGGCCAGGTAGGCCCAGGCCTACCGAAAATGTTGGTAAATATTTCAAAGTTATAAATAAATAAAGAAATGTAGTTATATATAAATAAAGGGAATGAAACTTATTATTTTGCATTTAAATTTTAAAACTCCCCCCTTTTGCGGAAAGCCCTTCCAACCTCTCGTACCCCGATCAAACTCCTTCTTGATCCTTGTCAGGCCTACCCAAAAAAAATTTCCTGGAGCCGCCCCTGGTAGACACCCATTCAATTTATAAATTCTTAAAAAAACTGTTTTTATTTTTGTATTCAGGAATTGTCTGTTTTTGATACATCAATTATTTGGATTCAATACCTATTCCAGAATATATGTTATATAATATGTGGTAATTCACTGGTACAATGACTAATGTGCCATACATTGTATTTCGAAACACAGTTTGAACACGATAAGTTTTAGCATTAGGAAGTACAGGAGAATACAGACAAGACGTTTAAACTATTCTTTACACGAAGCTTAATAGCCTATTTTCCCATGTTGGATATAAGTAGACACTCAAGCTGAAATGGTCATTCACTAGTGCCCTCATCCTATACAGATTTATATATATACAGGGTTAGGCAAAAGTCTGGAACCCTCCAATTAACTTTTTAACGCGTTGCAGTAGGAAAACCAAACTTGGCACATATTTTCAACATAAGAAATTGCACTTTTTCATCAAAGTTACAACTTTGCCCCAGCCCCAAAAATGAGGTATTTTGGGGGCAGTCCCAAATTTTCAAATGTAAACACCTATCATGTGATACCTCATTTTAAAGAGTTTCTCAAGACAAATTAAATGGCGCAAACTAGACGTCAATATCGCACCCCTAATCAAAATGGCAGCCATTTTAATTATTTAAGATGAACAAATAAGATAAAGTCTGGACACCTCCAGTTAACTATAAAATTGTTATTATTTGAATACTGATCAAAAGGTGAATTCTCTATTTTAATAAAGGTATGCTGAGTTTAGTTTTCCTCCTATAACCTGTTAAAAAGTTAATAGGGAATATTAAAAAATGACTGCCATTTTGATTAGGGGTGCGATATTGACCTCCAGTTTGCGCCATTTAATTTGTCTTGAGAAACCCTTTAAAATTAGGGGTCACATGATAGGTGTTTACTTTTGAAGATTTGGGGCTGCCCCCAAAATACCCCATTTCGGGGGCCGGGTACAAGTTCTAACTTTAATGAAAAAGTGCATTTTTTAGTGTTGTAAACATGTGCCGAGTTTGGTTTTCCCACTGCCAAACGTTATAAAGTTAACTGGGGGTGTCCAGACTTTATCTTGCTTGCTCATCTTAAATTAAAATGGCTGCCATTTTGATTAGGGGTGCAATATTGACATCTGGTTTGTGCCATTCAATTTCTCTTGATAAACCCTTTAAAATGAGGGGTCACATGATAGGTGTTTACTTTGGAAAATTTGGGGCTGCCCCCCAAAATATCCCATTTTGGGGGCTGGGGCAAAGTTGTAACTTTGATGACTGTGTGTTGTGTTCATGAGCCAAAAGCCTACATTACGGATTTTATTAATGTGGGTTATGTGATATTTCCCCTATATAAAAGAAGCCCTGTTTTATTCATGGGATATGGTTTGAGCTCCATCTTTTTTCCTGTCTTATGAAATTGAAATTAAGGCTATTTAAAATGTTGCAGGTATATAAGTCATGTGCTGACATAGAGGAAGCAACAAAGATGTTCAACAAGTATTCAGAGGTGCGTGAGGATGGACCTTACCCCTGGGCCAAGTGGAGAAACATTGTCATGGCTCACAAACAACCACGCAAGATATTTGTCCAAGCCAACACACAGATTAAAGGTTAAACATTACCAAAGCTATCTTATGATGAAATAATCATTACAGATCATTTAAGTATTGTTTGTAAAATAGCAGTTGGTTGGACCAGCGGAGTCATGTTGGTGAATGTGTTTCTTAAATGAATTGGTATGAGCTATGTTTGTGGAATTTTCTGTCATTACATTCTAATGTGTAATGCTAATGTGTATTTCAATGCTAATATTCTGTCCCTGCTGATTTACAATAGTCTATAATAATACACTATTGCAAAATGGGAATTTTTAGGGTTTGGTGTAAAATGCTTGAAGTAATAAATCTCTTCTCTGAAGTACATTAAAGCAAGCCACACAACCAAATTACCCTGGTTAATCAGTTTAATAACTCAGGAGTCTACAATGAGCAAATGAGGGTTACGAAATGGCTAACAAACAAGGTAGTGGTGCATTCATCCTTGTCAAAATAGAGTTCTTAATATGTCTAATACATCTACAGTCATGTCAGAAATAGGGGGATATGGAAGAGAAAAAATGTTCTTCAAGTCCATCGAATGAAATAGTAACAAAAACATTATCAATTTTAGAAACAAAATTTATCTGCGCCGCTTTAATTTCATACAATTATATGTTATTTGTTTTCCTTCAGGTAGTTGGTAAACGTTTATTAGTCCACTTAGTATGGAATCAATAACGCTGACCTACTTATGAAACTATTTAATTTTAATTATATATCAATTTTAATAGTTGCGCTTACTGAAAAAAGTATTTACTTGAAAAACTACCTATATTTAAAATCACTGTACGGCGAAAAATAATCTTGCAACTAGAAGCAACAGTGTTTAATCTAAATAATCTTGCTAGAAGTGTTTGGCAATGTTTTGCGAGTAGGCTGGTAGTGTTGTTAAACAATAAATTTTTGTGCTGACCTACAGAAGGCTGTTGCTTTAAGCAGGGTGGCTAGTGACCTGGAAAACCTGGAAATGTCAGGGAATTTTGTCATAAGTCAGGGAAAATTGGAAAAGGTTTAAAATAATTTTAATAATTGTTAGGAAAGGTCGATCTGGCGAGAGCACGTGTGCCGTGTAGGTGAAAACTAAGAGATAAGTCTGTACAATAAAATTTTGTGTTTTTGTACAAATTAAATTTTTTTATAAACTGCGTATCATCTTATCAAACTCAGTTTAATTTTATTAAAGCAAGTTGCAAAGTTTGAATACAAGCTAGCCTGTATCTATAGATTATATGTATGTTTTTAATATAAACAAACATAAGATATTCTTCAGATGAAGATTGGTCCTTTTGAAGAATTAGTTAGTATTAAAATTAAAATGTTGAATTTGTCGATCAAGGAAAGTTTAAAAAATCATGGAATTGTCAGGGAAAAGTCAGGGAATTTTTCAATGTGATTTCACTAGCCACCCTGTTAAGTAGGCCAGTGCACTTGGATCAGGGTGTCAGTTTTGTGTGTTTTAAGTGTGGTGCACCAGAGGACAGGGTCCTTCTGCTGGGGGAGCTAGAGCCCAAGGCCATTGGCCTTCAAAATTGGGGTTTGGAGTCTTCTCCAAATTGCGGTTTTAATTTCTAACTAAATGATTAATACAGTTCCAGGCTACACTACCTTTTAGTTTGTTTGTGTTGTTTTGAGTAATTAATAAAGTTGGGTTTTGTAAGCGAGTGCTGAGTTTCATTCCTGAGCTATGTCACCCAAAGTAATAGTGGGTACCTCAAGTAGAGGGACCGACCGTTGCAACACTGAAGTAGTTTTTTGTACCAATACATTTGGGAAATATCTTTTGGGCATGACAACAGCTGGCATGCTGCTACTTCTACTCACAGTAAAACCATAGACTAACCAACACAAGTAGACTTCTCATCCCATTGTATATTTTGAAGCTCATTTTTTGTGTCGAATTCATGTCCGGTGACACTGATCTCTAGTGTCGACGAAATTTTGTTTCTATTATTTTAGGGTTAATTTAATGATTTGTGGGTTTTGGTTATAAAAATGGGGGATGAGTTATTGTTTATGATTAGGATTAGATCGTTTTCTTTGGTTAAACGAGGTTTTAAATGACTGAAAAAACAAGAAGCAAATTGCGAAATAAACACGACCTCCACAATGCACCCCATGGAACTAACAATAAAATTGTCTTCAGCTTATCCATAAGGTATATGGTAAAACATAGCAGATTTTTCTTATTCAGAAAAATCTTTTGCAGATTTTTTTGTATACAGGTTGTATAGGAGTAACTTACTTATATATTTAACCTTTTTTCGTATTTTCAGATGGAAAGACTGTAATGAAGCGTTATGAAGCAAACTGTGAAGGTCTTATCCAGTCTTGGCTGGATAGATTCAATGTTCCTGAATTCTGCAGCATTCTAGAAGATTTATGGGAAACTGATAGAAAACATTTCTAAAATAATTAAGCCTTCTAAAGTATTACTTTGTAATTTTCTAAACTGTTGGGCTATGATTTTTAAATATGAATAAATACTTTTCCTTTGCATGCAGACTTGTTATTTTTTCCTACCACTGCATGGAAATAATAACATTGCCACACCTGTAAACATTACACAAAATAGCTGATTCCCGCTCACTAAATCTGCTGATTCCACAGTTGGCGTACAGCTGCGGAGCGGTTTTTTTTTTTAATTTTTAGTTCCTGTATTCCCTTGGGGGGTTCATAGGTACCTAAGCAAATAACATAACCTAAAAAAGAAAACAAACAACTAAAAAGACATTTTATATACAACTAAAAAAGTTAAATTGTACGTTATGATAAGTTAATTATTGTGGTAGGAAAAATCTTAAGTGTATTACGAACAGTCATTGGCGATCTGTTTTGAATCTCTTGTTTTGTTAACTTGTTCAGATAGTTTGTTATTTATAGTTTTTTACTTGTTATTCATAGTTTGTTATTTATCTTTTATGTCTTGTTATTGAAGTCTTGTTTTCCAGTTTTTTCACTACTTTTGTACTAGCCTGTGATAATTGCAAAGACACTATGTTTTTCCTCTGCTTCTTCTATCTGTAAGACCATTGTATTTTTCTTGTAAAAAATGGTACAACCGTTTATAAATAAATAAATAATTAACCCCAAGTCAATGTGGAACAGCATACGCCGAGGACTGCATGGTCAAGGGGAGCTTGGCCACTAGTATGCGGACTCTGGATACCAGGCGACCTCCAGTTACAAGCAGCCTTCTGCGGACAAGTGGGGCTCTGCCCCGGGCGACTCTTCATTCCCTTGCTACTCGTGGGATCATACATCTGAGGTGGCTACAAGGCCCCAAGATGTTATCCCTCGAGAGCATAACGTTCCCTCCCAAGAGGTCCCCGCTCTCAGGGAGGGGATGCCATGACACTATCAGAGGAGGAAGGCCTCCTCAACGACGTGGACTAAAGCCTTGTTCAGGGACAGCTTTGCCCTAAGATATATCCCAATTTGTTGGAGGGAAGCAAGGGCAGGATTTCTCCTGGAAAAAGGGAGAGACTCAGCCCAGCCCAAGTCCTACAGGCCTATATGCCTATATGCCTATATGCCTGAGAAAAGAGTGAAGTTAGTGAAAGAAACAAAATACCTTGGAGTTTACCAGGACCAGAAAACTTACCTGGAACAGGCATCTTGATTATGTCCTTGCTAAGGCATATAGGAGCATTTGGAGCCTGTAGATACAGGTTCTGCGAAAATGAGGTGGATACCTCAGAACAATTTATGGCTGGATTGTCCAGCGGGAGAGCACTTTTTCACCTCAAATTAGCTGACGAATATCGAAACTGGAAAATCTATTTTTTTTACCACTCGATTGTTTTAGAGTAATCGAATCGGAATCGGAGTAAATTTTATTGGTTTGACTGAGACTAAGAAGTTTTACAAACTTATGGCTTTAATTTTAACTTTCAATAGGCTACTAAATTTTAAAATATAAGTTAAACCTTTTAAGTCGTAGTGGGCCTTTTATAAAAGAGACCCCTTGAGCTGAATAATATACTGAATACTAAATAAGTTACTGTTATATTCAATTCAATACTCTTGAGTTGATACCATGATTACTAAAAAAATACAGATATAATCATATCGACATCCAGACAAAAAATAAGATTAATGAAGGAATCAGGAATAAAATTTCTAAGAACTGTGAGCAAGGTCATAATTTTGTAATTTTTAATTCATCATTAAGCTTTAAAATTAGTCTTAAGAGTTAGAAAAGAGTAAATTACACTCCCTTTTAGGAAGGAGGAATTGTGGCATTTTTTACAAGAGCTGGGTTGATACTAACAAATAATAATACAAATTAGGTCATAGAAATGGCCTCCATCTGATGATATTCAGTTTGACATTACGTCTCTAGGCGCTACAATTATATGTTCTCTCCTAATGATCTGTCAAACTGTCAAGTCAAAGGAGAACGGGAATGGATGGAGTGAGAGTGGACTATCGATATCGCGATGTACTAAATTCTAAAAACAATCGAGCTGTAAAAGTATCGATTTTCCAGTTTCGATATTCGTCAACTAATTTGAGGTGAAAAAGTGCTCACCTGTCCAGCGTCGGCCCCCCCAAAAAAGGTTGACATCTCTGAGAAGGCTGCACTTGGAACCTATAAAGATGAGGAAACTGGGTGTCTTTCAGCTCCTGGGTTATGTCAGAAGCCTAGGGCTATCAGAATGATCTGATGGGTGCTACAATATGCCATCAGGCCGAAGTAGCTAGGGGCACCTCAATATCCCCCCCCCCCAAGGGGAAAAAGGTGGATATTTCCGTTTTGAGCTCCTCCTGGACCAAAAAAAGTGGTTTTCAAAGTGATGTCTGTATGTGTGCAGAGCTACAGACCACACCTATGGTCCAATTTTGATGAAATATGGTATGTAGGTATCATACATCTATACTAAGCCATAGTATCTCCATGGGAGTGCAGAGCTACAGACCACACACGGTCCGATTTTGATGAAATTTGGTATGTAGGTATACTAAGCCATAGTATCTCCAGGGGATTTTTTCATTATTTGTTTGAAACTTCGATTTTCAATGGTGATTTTCCCACAAAAACCTATAAATTAATAGAAAAATCAAACATTTTGAAAATGGCACAACGATTATGATAAAATTTTTGTATTTGTATGTTTATAGTCCTTTCAAACTTCCATTGCCGTAAAAATTACGGTTCAACAGTTGTTTAAATTAATCATGTTATTTTCCCTTAAAACCCCATAAAATTAGAGATAAACATATTTTAAACCCGGTTTTGATTAAAATTAGTATGTAAAAAATGTAAAAATTATTATGTTATAATTATTATGGTTCTTATTATAATTCTAAACAAAACAGTGCAACCCCCCATTATTAAAGAAAAAAATACCTGTGATGAAGGTTGTTGACAAGCTAATGGGAGAAAGTATGTGTTAAATTAGTGATACTGTTTATTAGCGAATTTCCCATTTAGGGAATAAGCTATTACCGTACCGTAGTACTCATGGTAAGACATGGACGTGGGACTCTTTGAACTCCTTGAATGAGTAAATCGGATTTGCCAACAGAAGAGATTCTATCCCCTTTTTGAATTTTGCTTCCGGCAGGTTCCGAGCTGTAAGGGAGTTTGTTGAAAAACTTATCGCGTTATACACAATAACTAGATTGGACCTTTCTTAATCTAACAGGTACATTCATGTAGTCCTTCCTCCTAGTATTGTGAGGGTGGATATCACTTCGGAGTTCGAGAGAGCCTGACTCCTGCTTAGTACACAGAAGAGATTGGTAAATAAACTGTACACTCTGTCATAACGGATTCAGAAATAAAGAAATATTTGCAGTGGTCTAGAAAATCAGCACCTGCCAAGATTCTGACTGCCGCCTTGGAGCGTCAAAACCCTCTCGACTCCCGGAGTGCCGCCCCAATGTCTTAAATCATAAAGAACTGCTCTGAAAAAATGCAAGGTAGGCAGTTTTTAGCCATTCAGTGGGTACAGAGTTCTTCAAGTTCCTGAGCATGTGAATCACCCTGAAAATTCTACTACATATAAAAGATATGTGACTATTCCAATTCAGCTTTAGGATCCAACATTAAACCAAGTAGTTTAACGCTTGTGACATCTTGCTTAAGCTGTCTGAGACTAAATATTGTGGACTAAGTCTTACTCTCATTCAGGAAGAGGAAGTTAGCTGGTTAGCACGGATGCCGAGGCCCTTTGGAGAGCCTGAGTGCACTGGCGCACTGCAGGACATTAAAGTTATCATTTACCCCAATCATAGTACTGTAGTGTCATCTGCATAGCAAACAACCCCCTCTCCTAAATGCAAAGAAAGGTCATTTATCATTATGTTGAAAAGCAAGGGCCCAAGGACAGACTCCTGTGGGACCAACAGGAACAGAGGAAGAGGACTGACCTAACCTAACTAACCAAACTTATCGAATGAAACAATTGATAAATCGATGTTTTCATTCGGTTGTTTGTGCCAACAGATACGGAAGTCGGTTACCCTTTAATTTTATAATAAAAAATTATAAAAATAATTTTATACCTAAAAAAAATAAACATTAAATTTAGAACTTTTCTTAAATCGACGTGAGGGGCTCTCCCACATTCCCCCACTCCTTCGCAGAGCAGAATCGCAGAAGTTTTGAAGAGGTTCTCTTTTCTTCTCATCCACGGCCATCGCATCGGTTTCTGACCACTGAGACCATTGACTTAGGAAATAAAAGTTTGTTTCTTTCCCTTGTCTGTGCTGGGACGGTGACGCTCGACGGCTCGGGTGGGTTCCATAATATCGACAACCGTAGAAATTGATCGAAACTGAATTATTCCCAGTTTGTCGACACTGGAATATTCCCACTTAACCGACATCCCAAATAACCGACGTCGCAAATGATCGACACCACAAATTGTTGACATCCCATATTGTCGACAATGAAATAGTTTCACTATGTCGACACTGAAATAGTCCCAGTATATCGACAAGCTCCCGTTCTTCGGAGCTACTCTTGAAAAGGAGTTGTTCTAATTCATCGTTCAGTTCCTCAACTCACGAGTCGCAATATTTAATTCCGAATTCCGACGGACAATGAATAATGATAAGCTGGCCATTTTGACTAAGCATTAAGTTATTACTTTTAGGATTGTAAATATTTATCTTTTTTATTTCTTTCCTTGCTTACAGGAAAATTGGTGACTCGTGTGTTACAAACAATAGTTTTTAAGGGAAACAATGTGAAATAATTTGTATAGGTAGGTTATGTAGGCTAATCAACATGATAACAGACACTTTAGGTAAGTCACCAACAAGAACTTAAGATACAGCTTATTCGTAGGCTAATTCTGAATCATCAAGCAATATTGTAGCAAATGTTTGAATAGGCATAACTTATCCCTAGGCTATTAGGATTGTCTCTTATTCCCATTGACCCAGTGTCAACTTTAAGAATTTGTTTACCTATGTAAAAATATGCGGCTGCACTTTAGTTTATGTCCTTTATTCGGTACTTACGTATTAACCCTCCAAGTGTCCAT